CACACACACACACACACACACACACATACACACGCCCTCACACAAATACACACACACACACAGTACACACAAACACACACACACACACACACACACACACACACACACACTAAAAAAAGAAAGAACAACAAAAGAAACATTCTCCAATGTTTTGTTATTCAGTCATCTAGTTTATCTTTCTCACAACGCAAAAACGTATGCTGGCAAACTGTTTTTCCTGCTGTGGTTTTTTAAGGACGTTGAGCTTGCTTGCGTGTGCTAGTGTTTTATTTTTTGTTTCAGTCTATGCTGGTCATTTGGTCTCTGTGTTGTCAAGTCTGTTTCTTCATTTGTGTTGTCCTCTCAGTCTCTGTTGTCCACTCAGTCTGTCCATGTGTGTTGTCCACTCAGTCTCTCCATGTGTGGTGTCCACTCAGTCTCTGTATTGTCCACTCAGTCTGTTCATCTGTTCATGTGTGTTGTCCACTCAGTCTGTCCGTGTGTGTTGTCCACTCAGTATGTTCATGTGTGTTGTCCACTCAGTCTGTTCTGTGTGTTGTCCACTCAGTCTGTCCATGTGTGTTGTCCACTCAGTCTCTCCATGTGTGGTGTCCACTCAGTCTCTGTATTGTCCACTCAGTCTGTTCATCTGTTCATGTGTGTTGTCCACTCAGTCTGTCCGTGTGTGTTGTCCACTCAGTATGTTCATGTGTGTTGTCCACTCAGTCTGTTCTGTGTGTTGTCCACTCAGTCTGTCCATGTGTGTTGTCCACTCAGTCTGTTCATGTGTGTTGTTCACTCAGTCTCAGTGTTGTCCACTCAGTCTCTCTATCTATGTGTGTGGGGTTTTTTTTGTTGCCGTTTGTTATGGTAAGTGCTTCACGGCGCTCGCTACTACATAAGGTCTTTTGAGCGCGTGGGACACATTTTACATTTTGGGTTTGTTAAGAATTTTGAATATTGCCCTGGGTGCAGCCGAAGCCTACTCTTATCGATTTTAGGACCATCAAGAGATTTGCAACTTGCAAACGGGACGTTCGAGTTTTTCTCCCTTATCAGAGAAGGCTGGGAGTTAGATCTTACCAACCATAAGATCAAGAGTGCAGCTAAAAGACAGCTTTAAGAAGGAGCCAAGGAGTAGCAGTAGAAAGGCTGCAGAAAGAGTCAGGAGCTTAGAGGGGGGATGGAGGGTACAGAAAGTGGAGACAAAAGTAGACGACAGAACATGACTAGAGAGCAGAAAAGGAGTTGAAAGGAGAACATTTTAGAAAAGAAGATTTTCTTTCGCTGTCAGATTTCGAACTTGGGGTCTATTGAATGTGAGGCAAAAACCGTGAAACCTCAAGATCACGAGAGCACCCCCCCCCCTCCAATCCATGTGTGTTGTCCACCTTTTCTCTCCATGTGTATCTATGTCTGCAATGTAACATTTTAAGCGGTTTGCTGTCAAACTCAACAGCCCCGAGTTTGATTCCCGAGATGGTGAATATTTCTTTTGAGTATCTCGGTCTTTATGCTAACACGTTGTTTCCCTCTTAACCCGGGTGTTGTGGCTGACTGGCAGGATCAGAAGCTTGCCTCCTAAATTATCTAAACTCTGTCAATGGGGGCGTAAAAACCCTTACATCTGAAATAAGATTTTTTACTCTACGTCTGTTGTCCACTCAGTCTTTTCCCATGTGTTGTTCAGCAGTGGCCACGCACATCCCCACAGTCAATAACGGGGAAGCTGGGGTGTTGGACGACAGTGGCAACCGTCGCCTCAGCTACAACTACCACAACCACAAGTCTGACAACGACGACGTCAACAATAACGTCGTGCAATCTTTGGGCAGCGTCAACAACAGCAGCAGAACTTTTCCGACCAATGAGCAAGAGCTATTTTCAGAACCGACCAATGGCAGCTCCTTTCCGATAACGTGATTCTAAATCAGGGTTAGAAACTATGGGCATGATAGAAATGTAGAAAGAGGAGAAATGAACTCCAACATGAATAAATAAGTTGGAGCCTGGTAGATTTAGCCTTAACACGGCGCTTGCATGACCAAATTGTGTGTCGACAAAGACTCTAACGGACTAACGATGTAGTCCTAACAGTGTGGGGAATGTGTGTGTGTGTGTATGTGTGTGTGTGTGTGTGTGTGTGTGTGTGTGTGTGTGTGTGTGTGTGTGTGTGTGTGTGTGTGTGTGTACGCGCGCGCTGCGTTCATAAGGAATATGGGCGGTCATGTGGATGGCTATGCAGAATGTGTGGGTTGGTGTTTTAGATGCCAAGTAAAATTATAGTCAAAAGATGTGAACTTGAGGACATAACATTGTCACACCATTCAAATGGTAGCACAAACATGTCACGTAACAAATCTGATAGACAGGAAGCTGAGAGGACTTACTCATGAGTGACCAAGGGAAACATTTCGAGCATAGGGAGTGTCCAGGCCTGCTCGGACTTTGTACATACATCGGTCGATGCCGCAAGGACTTCAGTCTGACGTGAATGACCGTTGGTGAACGAAACAAAAACTTTAGTTCGACTGGAATGACGGTCTGTGAACGCTGAAAAGACTTAAGTCAGGCTTGAATAACAGTCGCTGCAAGCCAGACAGAGTTAAATCACTGGTCTCTGGAATCGAGACAGACCAGTTACAAAACTGGACACAGTCCAGCCTTGGTGATAGCCTCTGATGGATCCCACCAATTGACCGTCGCACACTTCAGCCTTTTTGAAAATAATGGATGTTACTCACATGTTAACAGTCTGACACTGAAGCCTTTGTGACAGTCTTGAATGGAATTCAACTATTGATCGTCACACACGTTAGTCTTTGTGATAGTCATAACAAAGTCATCCCTGGACACTCACTGTCCACTCTACATGATACGCAAATGACATTATCTGGACATTCACTGTATGTGGGTGCGTGGAGAGAGAGAGAGAGAGAGAGAGAGAG